TTTCTGAAGACTGACAGGTGTTTAATTAAATAATTCACAGGGTTTAATTTCAGTGGTGTTTAAACCAGATAGTTTAGTTATATGTAAGGAATAAATTTAGGATAAAGAGTGTAATTCTTTTTTAACTTATAGGAAGCTAGTATTTTCCACCACATAGTTTAACCTTGATAGTTTTGTTAGAGGTGTGATTTAAAAGAAAGGAATGACTTGACCTTGCTTAACAGCCACAGGTGGAAGAAGCTAGATTTCACAACTGAGTTGATCTGCTTGTCAAACTTCAAGTCACCATCAAACATCACCCCTAGATTTTTTACAGTCGACTTCAGGTGTCGCGCTAGGGGGCCCAGGCATGCACAGTCAACCGCACGAGCTACTGCAAAACTCCAGTGAGTGAACTACCTTGTCAGCCTTCGAATTAATGTCTACTAAAGGGTATAAAATGAGTGGGGGAGCCGAATCAAGTAAGAAACCGAAAACGTACCGAAAGCATTCCATGTGGAATGGGAGGACTTTTTTTTCGTGACGTTATATTCGAAGTGCGTTTGCTTGATCTACCAATCTACCGTCACTATTCCGAAGGGAAATGTGGTGCGGCACTTTCAGACTGTTCATAAAAACTAGACACTCATTCCTACATTTATTTTGTGTGCACGCGCGCAAGTCAATCATTTTGACTTTGAAAAGTAGCTCGCAAGGCGAAAAAGTGCGGGCACCCCTGGAATTTACCCTGACCTATTGTGAGCTATGGGGGTAACATACCTGCAGGTTATCTTTGGGCTTCAGTCAAGATTTCAGATCACGTGTGGCTGTCGAGGTGACTGTTGGTTAGCCACTGTTGGAAGGGGGCTGTGGAAAACAAATAACACTGCAAATGGCTACCACAATCCCAGTGTGTTCCAGCTTGGCGAACTGCTGTTTTAGTTTTTGGCCATTAGGACTACTGTAGCCTGAAAAGACTGCATGAAGGTCTCTGACCATGCTGCTTCTAAAATGCTATGGCCGCGGGGGAAGAGCCTGCAGTCACCAGAGCTTTATTGAATATAGTTTAAACAGACCTTATTCTAAAAAACATTTAATGTGAGGATGTGGGAGAAGGGGGGCGGGGTTCCGGGGTGGTGCCAAGTGTGGAAAAGTGGGTGGGGGTTAGGATCATAAATCAATCACACCTTTGACAGATGGTGTGTGCTTTTACTCCGATGAGCAAGAAAAATTGAAAGATGTTATGGAGAGAGGAACTTGGTTAGAATTATTTATTTTTGTCATCGGTATCTGTAAAATCTCAATATAACTTATCAGGCTATTCTCCCACAAAATATTAATATGCTAATATTTTTAGAGACAAGGAGTTTTTGATAAAACCTGCTGGCCAAATTCATTGCAGGAAGATAAGCAAATACACATACAGAATCTTATCTCATATTTGTCTAAGTATCACATACAGGTTGCTGATGGTCTCCCAGTGCCAGTTCAACCGACTCCTCTTTCCTTCCACATTGGTGACTGACAGCTAGAGGGTTGGTACAGGAGGCCTCGATATACAGTATTGTAGGCAGCTAGGTGGCTCCATGAATCACAATCCTTATCATGGCACCTGTGAATAGTTATGAGTTCTTGTCTCCCTAATGGATTTTCTCTTAAACAAAACAAAGGTGCTTAAATTGATCGTTGGAGTTTTTATTTGACAGACACAAAACTGACAACCCAAACCAACTGTTACTCATCAGGGATAGTAAGAGAAGTATAATGAAACATTCTTTAATACTCAAACTGTAGTTTTCTGAAAGTCTGACTGATGTATGCCTCCGGAACAGTGTTCACCCTAGCTGCCACTCCTATTTTGATGATTAATGTTTTCAATACATGTTGCAACCTACTTTATAAAGGAGAATTATCCTAATCAATCCTGCTACGTCTGCTCATTGATGCCTCCCTCTACTTTCAAACTGCGCTTTATGCTATGCCTGCCTCAGTGAATGATACTAACTTTCCTCACTTCAACAAGTTGTCATATGTTACCTAACCAAGCATAAGATAATTGGTTGAACCTCCTTTTGAAATAACCTTCTGGTAACTGTGAATCAGGCCTGCACAAGCTGTCCAGTGTGAACTGCTCTCTTTAGATCTTTTCACACTGTTTAAGTTGGGTTATAGTGTGGGCTCTGACCAGGCTGCTCCAAAAGATGGATTTTCTTTGTTTCAGTGACACTGAACAAAGAAGTCACAGTGTTCAGGGTCATTGTTCTGCTGCATCACAAAACTTGTACTGAGCTTCAGCCAATGGACAGCCACCCTGACATTGTCCTGTAAGATAACGTACCTCAAACCACTTGATGGCAGCTGTCCAGGCCCAGATTCAGCAAAGCAGCCCCAAATCAAGATGCTCCCAAGAAGCAGATTCTACTTGTGAATAACAAGCTCAAAATGTTTGTATAATTAAAAGAATCTCTAACCAACACCTCCAACCTGGTTTCATTGACTGGAGTTGAGGTTTACTAACTCCTGACTCAAGTTAACAGGGCAGGTTCCACAGTGAGAAACTCTTCTGGTCTAATTTATTCTGACCTCACTGAAGAAGACAAGCTAAAGATTTCATTATACAGTGATCAATAAGTAATCACAATAATAAAGGCAACAATTACGGTACCCTTGTGTAACAGTCTGGTCTCATTGTTACAAGAATATACAACCAGAATCTAACCATTATGACAATACCTGCTGGCTACCCAGAGTTGCCCATTTGTCAGTATTTCAGGAAAGCGTTTATTTTCTTCAAAGAGCCAACAGCTTCTGGTGGTTCAAAAGCAAATTGATAACAGCAGCTTTGCTTTAAGAAGGAAAGGGAAGCTAGAAAAGTGCACTTTGGCTAGGGGGATCCACAAACTTACTACACTAACGTGAAGTTAGGCCTACATTGCACTACCTGCAGTAATTTTTACAGTGCCTTGCGAAAGTATTCGGCCCCCTTGAACTTTGCGCCCTTTTGCCACATTTCAGGCTTCAAACATAAAGATATAAAACTGTAATTTTTTGTGAAGAATCAACAACAAGTGGGACACAATGATGAAGTGGAATGAAATTTATTGGATATTTCAAACTTTTTTAACAAATAAAAAACTGAATAATTGGGCGTGCAAAATTATTCAGCCCCTTTACTTTCAGTGCAGCAAACTCTCTCCAGAAGTTCAGTGAGGATCTCTGAATGATCCAATGTTGACCTAAATGACTAATGATGATAAATAGAATCCACCTGTGTGTAATCAAGTCTCCGTATAAATGCACCTGCACTGTGATAGTCTCAGAGGTCTGTTTAAAGCGCAGAGAGCATCATGAAGAACAAGGAACACATCAGGCAGGTCTGAGATACTGTTGTGGAGAAGTTTAAAGCCGGATTTGGATACAAAAAGATTTCCCAAGCTTTAAACATCCCAAGGAGCACTGTGCAAGCGATAATATTGAAATGGAAGGAGTATCAGACCACTGCAAATCTACCAAGACCTGGCCGTCCCTCTAAACTTTCAGCTCATACAAGGAGAAGACTGATCAGAGATGCAGCCAAGAGGCCCATGATCACTCTGGATGAACTGCAGAGATCTACAGCTGAGGTGGGAGACTCTGTCCATAGGACAACAATCAGTCGTATACTGCACAAATCTGGCCTTTATGGAAGAGTGGCAAGAAGAAAGCCATTTCTTAAAGATATCCATAAAAAGTGTCGTTTAAAGTTTGCCACAAGCCACCTGGGAGACACACCAAACATGTGGAAGAAGGTGCTCTGGTCAGATGAAACCAACATCGAACTTTTTGGCAACAATGCAAAACGTTATGTTTGGCGTAAAAGCAACACAGCTCATCACCCTGAACACACCATCCCCATTGTCAAACATGGTGGTGGCAGCATCCTGGTTTGGGCCTGCTTTTCTTCAGCAGGGACAGGGAAGATGGTTAAAATTGATGGGAAGATGGATGGAGCCAAATACAGGACCATTCTGGAAGGAAACCTGATGGAGTCTGCAAAAGATCTGAGACTGGGACGGAGATTTGTCTTCCAACAAGACAATGATCCAAAACATAAAGCAAAATCTACAATGGAATGGTTCCCAAATAAACATATCCAGGTGTTAGAATGGCCAAGTCAAAGTCCAGACCTGAATCCACTCGAGAATCTGTGGAAAGAACTGAAAACTGCTGTTCACAAATGCTCTCCATCCAACCTCACTGAGCTCGAGCTGTTTTGCAAGGAGGCATGGGCAAAAATTTCAGTCTCTCGATGTGCAAAACTGATAGAGACATACCCCAAGTGACTTACAGCTGTAATCGCAGCAAAAGGTGGCGCTACCAAGTATTAACTTAAGGGGGCTGAATAATTTTGCACGCCCAATTTTTCAGTTTTTTATTTGTTAAAAAAGTTTGAAATATCCAATAAATTTCGTTCCACTTCATGATTGTGTCCCACTTGTTGATTCTTCACAAAAAATTACAGTTTTATATCTTTATGTTTGAAGCCTGAAATGTGGCAAAAGGTCGCAAAGTTCAAGGGGGCCGAATACTTTCGCAAGGCACTGTAAAGTAAGAAGCACCGAATGAGTTCATGAGCTCTCTTCAAAGCAGTATACAAAGTAAAAACAGCCCTTCAAAAATTCCAAACAATTGGTAAAGTCCACTGATATTTTGCACATCCAAACATCGACTTTCTGAAGCAGTTTAATTGGAAAACTCATATGAAAGATTGAAAATAAGGACTATTGCAGTAGGATTCAGAATTGCAGAAAATCAGAATTAACATTTGAGCATTTTGTTTGGCTTTGCAACCACCCACATAAATACACAAACACAGCAGAAAACCCGACTCCAGACAGGACATAGAGAGAAAATAAAATAATTTATTCTCACACAAAAGACTTGCCATATCTAGTCAGCTCCCCCTGCAAATGAATGGAATGAAAATGTTTTATTTTCTGGTAATGAAAAAAACAGGAGTAAAAAAAAGTTTAAATCTTAAGATGGATTAAGTGCATTTAATACAGAGACAAAAGGCTGCATACAAGTGAATGAAAACTGCATTAGAGAAACAACAGTTATAAAAGTGGAGAAAAAATAGAACAGGCATAAAACTGATCAAGGATAAATATTTACACTGAAGCAGCATCCCCTTCTTGAACACAGACAATGTAGACACACTGTAAACATCTTTTAAAATGTGGACAGGTGTACAGGGAAGAAGAGCATGTGCTTTTATTCCTCTCATCCAAATCTCTTAAAATGTTAATATCAGAGCTTTATAAAAGCTGGAAGCAAAGAAAGGTTTACACAAGGAAGGTGGATTAATTACAATATACAATACTATATGTGAAATTGAATCTATACTGCTACAATAAAATAACCTTAAGTGTCAGTTAATATGTCGCTTACAAAGTTAAAAATAGCCATGACAGAAAAGGGCAAGAGAGGGCAACCCTGAAATTTTACCCAGAACATAAAACTCAAAGAGCTTAACATCCTGCATTTGTTACCTTTTATCTTTATTAATTTACTTGCCAAAAGCAGACTGAAGTAAAACTAGCATCCTGGGAAACCCCCATTTAAACCTCAGGATGACATTTTGTTTCCTTGGCTTACAGGTAGCGTTAACACTTCATTTAACGGCGACAAATCAGGAATCTGAACAGACAACGTGAATATAAAATGTGATAGATGTCTGGTAAGGAACATTTAAAAACAAATTATGTCAATACACAAAGAAAAACAGTAGGCAATCCTTCATTTTTTAAGGGTAAGGCAAACCTTACCAGATCCTGTGGTAAGCATGCACATATAGCCCCTATCACAGTGTAGTACCATTCCAGTTGGCTCTTAGTGAGAGTCTTAATACAAGCATGATGTATGTTTGGATGCACCTAACTTGTGCATTGTGCAGATCAGAAATGCTATTTTCTCAGTAACATACACCGATTTTAGCTGGATACATGACATGACAGACTTCACAGTTATGAACAGTTGGGTTTATTCTTTAACCCCTAATTAGCCACTACAGGAAGCAGGCAGACAGTTCTGATACTGGCAGAATGCCGTCCCTGGCTTCAGTGCATTTTTCAGAATGTGGCTACATGCAATTTCTTCTCAATTTGGGAAGTCTGTGAAGAGATCCAGTATGGACAAATGCAAGTTTACCATACTAAATGTAGCTTTAACTTTATACACACAGACCTGCCCAGTCAGATCTTGCTGTTTGTGGCAGTCAAGGCAAAAAAGAAGAGATAGGTCAACCCATGCTGGTGCTCCCAAAAAGAAGACTCTCAGAGGAGGTGGGTGGTCGAACGACTGAATGTGTGGTACTTCTTTTCAAATATGGAAGGCAGATTGACCATGGAGGGGGAATGGTGTGCCTGCAAATAGAAATCAGAGAAATGACTAAGAGAAAGCAAAATGTGTGTGAAGAACAGAGTTAAAATGTTAAGACCCACTGTATTGTTAAAGGGTCATTCTAGTTTATTACAACTCAGCTCAAATTTTTGTTTCATTTAAAAGCCTGTGAAACAAGGTAGATTGCTATATGAGCTGTCTAGCTTGCAGGCAAGAACACGTGTGGATGAAGAACAAGCTCGATATAGGTACTCCAGAATCTTTTTTTATTAAACTGATCGCTAAACAACAAAAGCTTATGCCTCTCTACCTTGAAAGTCAAACCTTGTCATTGAATTGATCAAGATAGGCAACCTTTGCCAACACAATCACACTTCAGTAGCTTCCCACTTGGATTTCACACACAGTGGTCTCTACAAGCATTTGGGCAGAGGCACTGTGTTTCCCCTTCTTCCGTTTATGTCAGCCAATGAATAGTAGCCAGTGAATGCAACCCTGATTACATGTAAGTGGTGCTAGAGGGCTTCAGAAACATGGAGCATAATTAGAGCTGAATGAATGAATGATTGACTGAATGAATGAAGAGATTAACAGGCTGCTTTCACTGAAGAGGAAGGCCAGGTCATGGGCGGCACTGGTCACAATGTAAATATATCCAGCCTTCATTATACACCTGTCATTACTAAGCTCAGCAAAAAAAAAAAAAAAAAAAAAAAAAAAAATTCTAATTGAGATTTGGTTAGTGAACACAAACACAAAAGATCATCCTTTCTTCCAATATATATCATGCAGACACTCAGTCAAGTTTACTTTTTCTAGTTACTTCCAACATGACTAAATTTTATTCCTTTTGAACTTTTCTTCTTTGCAAGTAAAGCCATACCAAATCTTTAGTTTTTGCTGAAACAAATCCCAAATTCTGACCAGCAGACCCTACGCTACCAGCCCAGTGACAAAGAACACCCCAGGGAGAGGCCACCCCAAGCTGTTCTGGAACACTGAGCCGAACCAAACCACATCAGGGTACCGTGCCATCATCCAAGGTCCAAATGACTCCAAAAGTAGAGAAGAGCCATCTTTTTCTATAAAACCAGGATGGTGTTGTTTACACTATGATTCATGCTAAATCCCACTGTCCACAATTCTCCCTTGTTACATTTAATAACTTTTTTCATAAGTCATAAGCCATAGTTGTCAAGCCAAATTAATCCACATTTCATACTCAATTTCATCCTTGGTTCTGTTATATCATTGTTTGCCATTTGAACTGCACCAGCATTCATTTTGTCTATTGTTTATTTAGATTAATAACTCATAAAATTCAGTTCTGCTCTCCTTATTCCTTTCTGTTGAAGAAATAAAATCCATGTTTTGAGAACTCATCTTTCAGACTAAAGATTGATAATGTGATTAATAACATGAAAATTAATTTGTCATAATAATTATATAAAATTCTGGTTGGTCCACCATAAAGACACATTGTGCCCCAAGGCAATTAGTTTATTGGCTAAATTAAGACAAATATGCTACAGAAGTGATTTTGGTGACGCATTATATAAGTTACTGAATAGTTTCCCTAAATAAAAATTCCTCAAAATTATGCAAAAACCCTTTTTCCAAATTAAAAGTGGTAGTATAACCAAGAGGACACCTCTGATGTTTGAACTGAATTTGATGGTACTGCACTATTCATATATAAGAGTAAAGTTATTTACTGTAATATTTTGTAGTAGGCCTGTATTTTCGGGGTTGCATTTTTTTGACACAGTCCTTGTGCACTCGTCTCATAGCTGGCTGCACATAGAGACCATGTTATCCAGCATGAATGACAGCTTGTTACCTAGACAATTACGGTATGGCCAACATGTACATACGTTATGTACTCATGTACACAATCCCACTCCTAGTGTTTAAATTCCCTCACTTTTTGCACCACTTGTCATGCATTTTAAAATAAAATTTTTAAAATGAAAACATTTTAGAATTTTTCATGAAATATCAAAAAACACGACGGCACGCGATAAGATGAAAGTGGTAGAATTAAATGAGTGACTGCTATATGCACCAGAAACTTTAGGCACAAAGGCACTGTGAAGAGCAGCACTACTTGTGACTTTTAGCTCCAAGAGAATTGGTCAGTGGAGGTGTAGTAACACTGCATCATATGCCTTTCTGAATTTGTCAGTAGTCTATCTGAAGCAAATCTTACAAAACAGATTGATTCAGTTTAAAAATCAATACAGTTCTAATACTTGTTAATCACTTACATAGTAGCCGGGGAGCCAATGCATATTGTTAGCATAGACTGTCTCTCTATTCACATTCAACAGGTGAGCTGATTATTAGAAACAGCCCTGCATATACTGCAGTGCAGTACAACACCACCACTGACCACAGTCCTAAAACATATAATTTAGCCAACACAATGTCTACACCAAACATGTAGCATGTACAGTGTGTAGCATATTGTGTGAATCCTGCGCTACATTCGTGTTTGAGCATAAAGAGGAAGCTACCAAAACACTTTTGTCTTGTACAAAACTGGATCATGAAGCCCATGGTAAAACAAAATAAAAATATAATTTAAAAAGAACTTGCAGTAGTATTAATGTAACAAATGACAGATCATGTGGTCTGTGCTGATTTATTACTCAATTTTGGTGGAATTCTAGTTTGAACTCATGAGCTTTCATAGGATTGATGGATTCTGTGGAGTTTTACACACATAGCCCCCAAAACACAGACTAAAGTGTAAAAATATGTACGCAAAGCATGAGTGATAGGTGTAGACAACTGGACTGATTAAAATGGGAACATATTGGTTACATGGCATGTTTGTCTCTAAAAAGGCAGTTAAACCCTTTTGGTGAAGACACAGCACAACTCCTCTATGACTGGCATTAAAAAAAAAGAGAGAAAGAACCTGAACATTACAGGCATCATTAAAGTAGACTGCAGAATCTCATCATCCAATAGATTGGACTGTATGTGTACGTAATAATATTCATTTATCAGTGGAGTGACTTCAAAGATATTTATTAAATGTGAAATATTTTCAGTTTCATATAATGTAAACATGGATAAACTATCAATTGACTACCCTACTAACTAACCTCAGTGTGTCTCTTCCTCTTAAAATCACAGGCTTGTGTGTAGTCTACTGTTTAAACCATTAACCCAAATGCAAAATAGATAACCTTCTATTACATCAAAATAAATTTCTTAAGCATGGATACAGGTAGTGCAGTATTCATACAACTAAGAAGTGGTTAAATGGCTGAGATGAATATAGGGCATACAGTAATATACTCAGCCACCACAAATGGCTAAAATATAGGACCGATTACAGGTGATGTGCCACCTATCATTAAAGCTCAGATGAGAAGGCTGCCTTACTCCTATGAATGCATTGACATTTTAATATTAGTAAGCCATTTTTGTGTAAGCTAGCCAAAACACACAAAGAGTATAACATCCAAAATTAAAGACATGCCTTGACATTTAGATTTTTAATCTTGATATTTTCCTCAACTGGTTCTTATATTAGTCACTGAAGTTCTTTCTAAAGGAGCGGCTTGGATTGAAACAAATATCTGTAAAAGCAAACTAACTTAGTAGCATCTGAATGCTTAATAATCCAACAACCCTTTATAGTGTTTATGGACCTACACTCAATAGTAACGTAGCAAACACCCAGAAAATAATAAAGATGCCCTTTCGCTTGACAGAAAGCAGGCTTCCACCTGCACAACACCTTTCCCAGCTCTCTACCACTCTTTTGATGAATATGGCTGCAATGGACTCAGCCACCCAGTGAATATTCCCAGCCACCACCAATTAGTAACTTGGGTGAGTGTTAAAAACAGAGCTATTCCAAATCAACCCATAGAATCACTGTTCTTTACACATATGCCAATTTCAAGTGGGTTATGCATGACACTCACACTATTCAAATATTTCTAACTGAATTGTATCTAATCATTTGAGTTCGGAGCCATCCTAATTAATCTGATACATCATTTTCCCAGGGTCTCAGCTTCTAAGGAGTTGATTTGGGACTACAAATGCACCAGTGGTAAATAGATGTTAAAAGCACAAAACAGAGTGTACACCAGCTAGTGAGGATTAATGAGAAATTAAAGTGGTATCTGAGACAAGACAATAATAATTGCTCACATGAGACTCCTGGACTGAGCTTAGCGATGGTTTAGAGCAAAGTCTCCCTGCGAGGACTGGTCATGACAGCCTTGCATGGGTCCAAAGGGACTTGGGGCTCTCTGCATAACTCAGAAGAGGTCCCCCCTATGACATTAACAGGTGGAAGAACCAGGGACCTTGGAGGACACCCTATAGATGGAAGGTGTCTGGATGCATGCTGGCTAGATTTTGGTTGGGGGTGTATAGAACGGGGCTGAGTGGCGTTTTGGATAGCTGAAATGGAAGTGGAAGTGTGATGGGCTGAAGAGGTGGACTGTTGGGAAGTGATGAGGCTTGACTGAGGTTGTGATGATTGGGTTGATAATGGAGCATCAAGGATGGACTTGGGTTCTTGGGCGCCAGGGCAGTAGCTGGGGGAAAAGCTTTGGCTGAACTCAGGGGCAGTGCTGAGGCCTGGGCTATGGGTGGAGTTTCGGACTGGGCTGCAGGGCGTACGTATACAGACAGGGACCCTGGCTCTCACAGGAGCATGGTCCAGAGAATTAGAGCGCTGTACCACAGCACTGCTCCTGCTAGAATCATTCAAACTGAATGTGGAGGTAGAGCGAGACATCTAGAGTATATAACAGAGGGAAGACAAATATGGAGCACAGATTAACATAATAAGACATGACGGTGTTTTAAATACAAAATGCACACATAGTACTGACTAGCTGATTTCACAACTTGAACTAACTATTAAACCCAGGTTAAAAACACAAAAAAAAAAACCCTCAAATTCTGCTCATATTCAAATTTTCAGTGTATTGTTTCAATCAGCGAGTGACTGTTGACTGTTTTCAACCTAGTCATTAAACCAAAGTTAGTTTAATTAGCATTTCAGTGACTGCTAGAAGAAAAATAAAATTAGCTTCTGACAGTTGTAGGGATGTGGTTGAATAGCATTTTAACAAATTTGAATCCAATTCCAAATTGGTTTGTTTAATATAAATCCCCTATGGATAGATTTGTTCAATCACAACACAATGGCTTCATGAAACAAAAGATTTAACTTTATAATTATTTCTGGTCATGTTCAATGTGATTCAGGGACCAATATTCAGACTAACCTGACACTCAAACTACTTTGATTAATGATGGAGCTAAACCATGAACCATCCACTGTGCTAAAGGATTGTGGAGTATTCACAACATGTTTAATACGGCTCTGTTGACATTCATTAACCCTGTTCTCACTCATTTTCCCTTTCGGTGCAAGAAAAATAAAGGTTCTGCACTGAGGGCTGTGCTGCAGCTGCAGGAGCCATAGAAGCTAAAGCAAAAACCACACTATGAAAATAATATTAATTCTACCTTATCATTCAGTAAATACCACATGCATAAATCATTGCTGTTCTACATGCACTAAGCATTTTATGTTGTCTGAAAGTGAACTTAGTGTTGCACTGCTACAAGTCACACAATCTGACAGGTAACAGTACAGTTGTCCATCAACTTGTCAAAAACTCCACAAATTCTTTAACATTTGGAAAGTAAAGATTTCACCAAAGGACATGCTATTCCACCCTTCATCATAGGTTTGTGCTCACAAATACTGTTGTCAGTGAGTTTGGAACATATATCCATCTTTGTTATAGCATCACAAATAGTATCACAGTCACATTCATGTACATTTTGGTGTGCTGTGGTTATTATATTACCCATACTGTCAATAATTCATTAATTTGTGAAATATGCCTCTAAGCCATAATCAACAGTAATTGTGTGCCAGACATTTTCATTGTAAGACAGTCATTACTTTTGTTCACCTGCAAAGAATTAAAATGACACCTTTGAAAATACACGGTGCTCCAAATTATTATGCAAGTGACAACAGGATTTCAGTAAAATAAAAATTTTAGGTTTTTCTATGAAGGTTTGCGGCTGTTTTATTGCTCCCATATTATTTGATAACTGTTATAGTATCACACTTTGGCATACATCAGCTGGTTTGTCTGTGCACATCTGTAGTGTCAGAAAAGAGGTGCAAGAGACTAAACATAGAATGTAAATTAAAGATTGGTTAAGTTTTTTTTTTTTTTAATTGATAGAACCTAAAAAAAAAAATTTAAAACCAAATTGTGATATATTCATATATAAATGTGATTTATATTGGAACTCATCCCTAGGCAGTTTTCATTTTAGCCAGCAACAGCAATGCTGGCTTGAAACGAGAAGCTGGATTTAAAATTAAGTTACTGGTTCACAGAAAAAGCAGAAACAAAACAGTTAATCACTCCTCACGGTATTACAGGACACACCAGATGATTGGGGGGGAATTAATGTAAAGTAAAAGACGGAATCGATTAGGTGTTGGCCAAAACTATGTATGATTTTTGCATTCGATGCAATAATTGTTGATATGCTAATCGAACGTACATTTAATTAATTAATTTTTTTAAAATAAGCTCCATTTGTATCCTCAGTTCTATTGTTATATTTACACTGTGTTCCAAATTATTATGCCAAGTGCTAATTTGGTTTATTTTTCCTAAACAGTCAGTACAATTCAGTTTTTTGTTTTGCCTCAACAATTACATCACAATGTGGGTTTTGTTACAAGCAGAAACTACTGATAATGACAGATGTTTGCAAGATTTTGAAAACTTAACATACATTGTTCCAAATTATTATGCAGATTGCAGTTTGAAATCACTCAGTAGGTCATAATAATCTCAAAACAGAAATCTATTATATTTCATGCATGAATAATTAACATTCTTCAAAAAATAAAGGCAATAAAAAACTATGTCAAGCTACTTAGTAATATACGAGCCATTCTTTGATATCACTTTTAACAACTCTGCCATCCACTGAACTTCTAAGTTCATGTAGTGTTTCTGGCTGGATTGCCTCCCAGAAATGTTGTTCCAACGTATACTGCTGCCTTTTGCATGGCATTTCACTATTTTACACTTTTCATCTTCAGACTTATCTTTGTTCTTCCCCTACTGCATGAGAGCTGTGACTTGCTTAATATTGTGGAACAGCCTCTTTAAGTACGTTTCTCTATAATTAAGCTCATCTGGCAAACTAATTAGCAACCTTGGTTGAAACTGATACCAGTTATCAAACAATATGCGAGCAATAAAACAGCCACAAACCTTCATAGAAAAACCTAAAATTTTTATTTTACTGAAATCATGTTGTGTCACTTGCATAATAATTTGGAGCACAGTGCATTTTCAAAGGTGTCATTTTAATTCTTTGCAGGTGAACTAAGGTAATGACTGATTTCTTACAATGAAAATGACTGGCACACAATTACTGTTGATTGTGAAATATGCCTCCAAGCCATAAATTAATGAATTATTGACAGTATGGGTAATATAATAACCACAGCACACCAAAATGCACATGTACATGAATGTGACTGTGATTCTGTTTATACTACACTGGGTGTTTCAATACACTGATGTGTATGTGTCATGTAGATCCTTGTGAATATGTAGACAGAATATAAATCGCAGTTTAGGGCATGTCACCACCCAACTGTGGCTAAATGTGGGAGTGGAAACAAGTCTTGTAAATTTATGCCCTCTTACAAATTACTGAGTAATAAAAAACAGAAGTATGTGTTGGCTATAAGACTTTATGAATGGGATTTTTAAAAATAATGTACATGCATTTCTGTCCTTGTAGACATAGAATTTGAGTCATTAACCTATTTTAATGGCCCCTAGTCTTTACTGGTACTCCCTAATCTTTTTCTTTTTTACTGCTATGGACAGAAGAGTGAAGTTTGGAATTTACGGCATGCATCTTAACCACTAGGACACTGGAGGGTCTATCACTCCCTAATCTCAACTAGTATATGTGAAATTTTATAATCTTCTTTAATATTTATCTTTCTGTGCAGCTGCCACACACAGTACATTAACATTCTTGTATCACCGAAAACAAGGCACAGTAAAAGGTTAGCAAAAATGATGAGGGAATTTCACTTTTCCTCACCTCTTAGCCACTCCCCCACATCTTCATATTCACCTCCCCCATTTAATAAAAGGAGCATTAAGAAAGGAAACTGCTAAAATAACAGTCCTATTAAAAGCAAAAATCTCCTAGCACATTAAAAACAGAAGCCCTTTCCCTGCTTTTTTAATCAAGTTACTTGAAGGCAGGTGACTCCAATAGAAAGCTCTTCCACTGTGGTCATGCCACCCAGTGTGTTATGCAGTTACTACAAAAACAGACATTTTATAAACACGTTGTAAAAATGTACCAATTACACACAGATAATGGTTGTTCAATCACAAAGAACTTGGCTACATTGCATACTTGTTTCCTGTGCTTTTCATAAAGTGTGAATACGTGTTGTAGTTTTACATGCTATTGCAAAATGCCTATATTTGTGTATTAGATAGGTCTTGGCCAAGACTAACAGAGAGATAAGTAACAAATGAAATAATTTAACTTATTGTGGCTATATCATCAGTACAACTTGTGCTGTCTTCCCAAGGGACAGACTGTTTTCTTCAGACAGACAAATAAACAGACTTACAGCCAGAGTGGCGCTGCTGCCGATTCGATTTTCACAACACAGCCTCTGGCATTTTTCGTCTGGAGTACTGTTGGCCATGAACGCCCTCTGGATTACACGCTTCGGGGTCTTACTGAAAGAAAATGCCCTCGTCACCTAGCACACAAACACACACAGCCAGAAAATCAGTGATTAATACCTTCTGTGTTGAAGGCGAGTCTTTGTTATAGGTGCCACATGGTATTTTGCAAGTTTTAGATTTTCAAACATTTAGTTTTTAAGTAACTAAATACTTTTGGCTGTTTGCACTTACGATGTAGGACTGCTGAGGCTGCTGGATGTGTAAAAAGTCTACTTTATGAAAATTTTTTTTTTTTTTTTTTACAACATGCACAACAAGGCTAATTCAAGTTAAAAAGTAATGTAGATGATAGCTGTCTATGAGGTGTCTTACAGCCACAGCCAAAAATACTGGCACACCTGCATTTCTGTCAGATAACACACCAGCTCTCCCTGATAACTGTTGCAATCACAAATCCTTTGGTAATCTCATGTTTATTTCTTGTCTGTGCATTGGGAACAACACAAAAAAGCAGACAAAAGAAAAAAAAAAGACAAATCTGATCCATTCCACACAGAACTCCAAAAATGGACTGGACAGAATTATTGACAGCCTCAGCTTAATATTTGGTAGCACACCCTCTGGACAAAATAACTGAAATCAGTCACTTCCTGAAACCATCAGTGAGCTTCCACCTCTCTACTGGAATTGTGGACCACTCTTCTTCTGCCAACTGCTCCAGGTCTCTCAGATTTGAAGGGTTCCATCCCCCAGCTGCTGTTCTGAGATCTCTCCATAGATTTAGATCTGGACTCCATGCTGGACACTTCACAACTCTCCAGCACATTGTCTGAAGCTATTTCTGGTGCTTTGTGAAGTCTGTTCGCTTTGTCCTGCTGTAAGACCCATGACCTCTGACAGAGACCCAACTTTCTGACACTGGGACCTAGTGTTGCATGATATACCGGTACTAGTATGGTACCGCGGTACCGAGGCATTTAAAATGGTACTATACTGCATTTGGATGAGACCGGTACTTGCAGCACCACCGGCAGCGCCCGCCCGCCCGCAACAGAGGAAGACAGAGCAGGAAACAGCTTCCTCGTCCTCTGCTCACTGAGCAGCGTGGACTGGAGCAACAAACGAACCAGGAGGAAAGCGTGGAGAGAGCAGAGACGTTGGAGAGAGAGAGAGAGAGAGAGAGAGAGAGAGAGAGGAGCACGGAGAGGAGAATGGCTGCTGTAACAGTCACCACCCCGCAACTTGTGGACAAACGAGGGTCGCGAAGTGCTATATGGCAGTACTTCGGCATAAAAACAAATGACCTAGGAGAGGCAATTAACGTTGATGCGCCATTGTGTAAACGATGTTTTAAAACATGCATGGCTAAGGGCGGAAACACCCAGACCTGCACACTGAGTTCAGGGAACGACAGGTAATTTACTCATGAC